GCTACTATCTATCCAACACCTTGCCTGCCTGTACTATGTGCTCCCAGGCATGAAGGTCATGAGCTCACCTCTAAAACTATAATGATTTCTTGTGTAAGTTGCCATGGTCCTGGTGTCTCTTCACAACAACAGAAAAGTAACTAAGACATTACTTGATTAAATTTTTTTCAGCCAAGTCTCATTCTCCACTATCCAGCGGTCTTTAGTACAGGCCAGTTAAAGGGCGATGTGGTGGGAACCACTGCCCTGCACCTTTCAAGTCTTTGCTGGTGACACTTCTTCTAGGGATGTGGTGCTATCCCCTGGTAGAGGCAACTCTAAATGGTTTCCATTCGGCCTTTCCAACCACAGCAGCTCTCACTCCACAGTTACGGAACCACTGTGAGAATTCTGCCAACTTCTAAGTTTATCTGTCCCAGTTATACATCCTAGAATGGAATATCACTGCACCTACTGTGAGTTGGGTATCAGCCAAAACTCCATCAGTCACCTGCCCTCCATAAGTCCACAAAGCTTCTTGGGGTCTCCCAGAATCACTGTCAATTCAGAACCTATATCCAACAGACCCTGGGAAGTCCGATTACTTCCTTTCCCCAGTGAACAGTTACCTCTGTAAAGGCTGCAGGTCCATGTGGGAAGGGAGAGGAGAAAGACTCACTGTTGTACATAGGATAGTGATATTGTCATTAAGACCTGGGTTTTGTTTTGATTCGGAAACTGAAAATATAAGGAGATGTGATTGTGTGTCAAGTTAACAATGGGAGAACTTGTGATGGCTAATCTTGGTTGTCAACCTGACTACATCTAAAATCAACTAAAACCCAAGCAGCTGGGCACACCTGCCTGTGTGTGTGAAGGGGGTTCTTGACTGCATCATTTGAGGTCAGAAGGGTTACACCTTCTGGTGGCAGCCTACAAAAACAGACGTGGTAGAAGGAAGCTTTTGCCTTTCGCCTGCTTGCCCTCGCTCTCCCTGCTGAGTCCTTCTATCCTCTGGGGAGGCTGTCCTTCACTGGCAGTGGAACATACCTCTTCAGGATCCATCACAGACCAAAGACCAGCTGAGACAGCCAGCCTCGGGGACTGAACAACTACTGATGCTTGGCCTTCCTGTCACAGACAGCCACTGACGGACTAGCAGCCTGTAAGTCACTCTAGTAGACCCCTTTTCTACAGAATCACTCTATCAGTTCTGTTCCTCTAGGAAACCCAGACTAGAAGACATATGTACAATTTAACAATTTTCAAATTTAGCTGGGCGATGGTGGCGCATGCCTTTAATCCCAGCACTCGGGAGGCAGAGGCAGGCGGATCTCTGTGAGTTCGAGACCAGCCTGGTCTACAGAGCTAGTTCCAGGACAGGCTCCAAAGCCAAAGAGAAACCCTGTCTCAAAAAAACAAACAAACAAACAAACAAACAAAAATTTTTCAAATTTGAACACTTAGAGTTTAAGACATTCACCTATTCATAATACTTCTCTACCATGATCAAGTAGAAGTCCCACTGTACTTTTACTAAACCACAAATCTCGTAACTAAGATGCGGCCAGATTTTGGTCTTGTGTTGTTTTCATCAGCAGTGGTTCACTGCTGGAGAAGCAACAGCTATTCCAACCGTTTCCTCCCCACTCTCCTGTCACTGTAGCAGTCAAAACGACTCCTGAGGAAAAATCCATTTTGTAATTTCTGTAATAAATGGATTTCATGACTGGCTTTCCACATAGAGTTTTTAAAATTCTTCTTGGACAATACTCCCATCACACACACACACACACACACACACACTCCCAGAATTTTACTATGTAGCCTAGATAAGCCTTGAACTAGCAGTGATTACAAGCATGCATCATGATATTCTACTCTCTGGAATTTTCACTGTACTTTTGGGGGGAAATTCTAGACTGAGAAGGTGTGAAGGATTTTTCTGACCAAACAAGATGGAATGGTATCAGACATGGCTCCTCCTCTAGAGCTGAGAGCAGTGACACTCGGTGGAGCCCAGGCATCATGTGCCCAAAGGTCATCCCCGACTCCTCCCATATCCCCAATATATCTGGAATGGGCATGGGCACCATGGGAGATGAGACAACTGTTACAGTCCTTTGTGACATGAACAAGAACGGTTTCCTGGCCAAGGTAAAACATTCATGATGGAAGCAGACCTTTAGTTTTTGTTCTCATGAACACTCTGGGCTGGTTGCAAGGCTCTGCAGGCGTCCTGCCTTCACCTGTGAACACTGGCCGAGGGGGAAGTGGGCCTTGATGCACACTGCTGCACTTCACCTGAGGACGTCTAGTAAGGGTAGCTGCAGTGCGTGGGGGCATCACCTGCAGACTGCGCGAAGGTGACCGCTACTGCAGGGTGGTCTGCACTCCACTCCTCCAACACCTTTCCTCCCGCTGAAGGGCCCTGGTGCCTTTTATAGGGTCACACAGGAAGCACACACTGGCACTGGCAGTCACCAGGGCGAGGGAAATTTGAGGCTCATGGAAGAAATTCCAGCTGGCTCATAGCCAGGGTTCAATGCTCAGGCACTAAATGCTGAGCAGATGTCTCCAATACACAGAGCAGTGGTGTGCTTGTCACCAGAACTGCGGACGTTTGTAGCTTTCTCTAACACTGCTTACCAGCTTCCTGTACACAGACAGGAAGAGCCAGTTTCTTTCAATGACCAGCAGATTAATTGAGCCTCTGCAGATGAGTCTGTGAGTCCAGGAACCTCCCAGGTTGGGAATCCTGGCTGATTGCCTAGACCTCTTCCCCATTGGAGAACACAAACCTGCAAACTGTTTTGGTAAGAGCAGTTTACCCACTGGAAGCCTTTGTTATCTGGTAGGCTGACCTTCAGTCACCTCAGGAGGACTTGCTGTCACTCTCAAGGGCAATGCACAGCAGTGAAGCCTGCTGAGCTAAGACAGAAGGTGGGGTTGTGTTGTGAGGAGGAGGAAGCCAAAGGTTTCCCTGTCTTGGGCTTCTTAAGGGCTCCAGCTGGAGTGAGGAGGAAGCCAAAGGTTTCCCTGTCTTGGGCTTCTTAAGGGCTCCAGCTGGAGTGTAAAACACAGATGGTTCTAGCACAAAGAACTTTGGTGGGAAAAGAATTCAGGACATCAGGATTCAAGAATCACCCGTCTCTCCCCCATCCCCAGGGTCCCTGTGGACCAGGGTGGCTTGGAGGCAGAGAACAAGACACTTTGCTGGGTGTGATGCAGCAAGGCAAAGGTATGCGCCCCTTCCAAAACTAAAGGGCTTAGGATAAGAGAGCTGCTTACTTTCCACCAGCCTCCTGTGGTCTGTACACCCCTGGGCAGGTCTCTCCACTCTCATCTTGCAGGAAAAAGGCAGTCATCTGAGACTGACTGGTCTGTTTAGCAGGTGCTCCTGTTTTCTGGAGGCCTTAATACGCCAGCCAGGGCAGACCCTACTTGAGCCATAACCATATAGTCTCATGTGAGAGCCTCATTAACAACACTTCTGTCAGGTCCCAAACAGACCTGGGACAAGTCTCCTTCAGTACCCGTGGCTCCTCCTACTTCTCAGGCACCACTACCCTAAAGCTCCCCATCCCAGGAACTGGGCTTCCCTTCCCCTCCCCCAGTTTCTCTTTCTTATATAATTCAGCCATTTTGGTAGTTTATTCTCCTAAGAAGTATCACATCACACTTACTTTTATGTTTCAAGGGCTGCACTTGTAAAAACAGAGGGAACAAAAGGTTGCCAGAATTAAACATCAACTAACAACTTACTAAAATATTTTGGGATATTATTTGTCAATAATGTATATACTAAACACATATGGAGATGAAAACAAAAGGTGGCTAGAGAGATGGCTCAGTGGTTAAGAGCACTGGCTGGTCTTCCAGAGGTCCTGAGTTCAATTACCAGCAAGTACGTGGTGGCTCACAACTATCTATAGTGGAATCTGATGCCCTCTTCTGGCTTAAAAATGTACATGCAGATAGAGTACTCATACATAAAATAAATATATCTTTAAACAAATAAAAAAGAAAAGCACCTGCATTCAATGGAATTTGCTTCTCTCTCTCTCTCTCTCTCTCTCTCTCTCTCTCTCCCCTCTCTCTCTCTCTCTCTCTCNTCTCTCTCTCTCTCTCTCTCTCTCTCTCTCTCTCCCCTCTCTCTCTCTCTCTCGCTGTTCTGTAACTCACTCTGTCGACCAGGCTGTCCTTAAACTCACAGAGATCTCCTGAGTGCTGAAAGTACAGGCGTGTGCCACACCCACCACGCTGAGATTCTGAAGACTTAAGGAACTAAGCTGAGACTGGTAGCTCCTAGTATAATTCCAGCCCTCAAGAGGGAAAAGCAAAGGGATCAGGCCAAACTCAAGGCCACAGGGAAATCAAGGCTGCCCAGAGCTACACATTCAGACCCTATCTCAAAACCCATAGCCAGAGAGTTTGGGAATGCCCGTGAGTGACATACTCATCACTATGATATCAAAATGCTGCTTTAAAAAGAATTGATTAGGCCTGATGAGATGGCTCAGCAAGTGAAAGTGCTGGCTGCATAGTGCTAGGGCCTGAGTTCCATCCCTGGATCCCACAGTGGAAGGAGGGAAGGAACCAATTCCTGAGAGTTGTCCTCTAACATCTGCACACATGCTGTGGCACGCATGCACACACACATCATAAACACATAATAATATACCTTTTAAATTTGATAAGCTTCAAAAATTAAAATTTACTTTTATAGCTTTCATATTATTTGTTCCAACTTTCCTACCTTTCCTAGAAGTTGAAACAAAAAGAACAAAAAGCAGGCTTTAATAATTCTATAAACAAACCTGTTGTAGAAAGAGGATTTGCTAAGCCATGTGGAAAGTCACACATATAATTCTGACAAATGTAAAGCCAAAGAATTCCCTCCTCCATGTTTTTCTCTCTTCGGATAACCTGTAACATGTTGATGTAGAGGCACAGAACATATAATAGGCAATGACTTAAGTGGCATTCTCTGACCGACAAGCACTGAGGTGACTACTTACTAAGCAGTTAGACAGTCTTTCAGTGCAGAATTTTCTTTCCGGCATTTTACCACCATAAGGATTCCAGAGTCCTTGCAACATCTGGTAAAATCTGAAATTAAAAAAAAAAAGACATTACATTAACAGGACTTTAAAAGTTCTAACAGAGTTTCAGCTGGGTGGTGGTGGTGCACGCCTTTAATCCCAGCACTTGGGGGGCAGAAGTGGGTGGATCTCAGTGAGTTCAAGGCCAGCCTGGTCTACAAGTGCAAGTTCCAAGACTGGCTCCAAAGCAACACAGAGAAACCCTGTCTCAAAAAATAAACCCAAAACAAACAAACAAAAGTTCTAACAGAGTTTCTCCCTTAGAATCCATTATCCAGACTGTACATAGTCCATGCTCAATAACACATGGTCACCAGTAAGGGCCAACTACAAGCAAGGCTCACTTTATAGAAAGGTTGTGGGAGGAGGACCTGTGAGATAAAGGCAGGAAGTTGCCTGGAGACACACAGACAAAAGTGGCCACGGAGGATTTCTAATTGGAAGAGTATATTCCAAGGGAAATAAGCAACAAGAGTTAAGACTTCCCAAGACGGGGTGTCTGGTGTCCATCCATGTTTCCTCTCAGCACATGGCAGAGCTGAAGGCTTCCCTCTGACACCACCACAGCCTCCTCCTTCTGAAGAACCCTGCAATGTGCCTGAACAGCTAGTAACAGGGCTCTCGTTCATTACCAAGTCTTAAGACACCATAAAAATTACAATAGGTTTCTGTTTCATTTCCACCCAGGGATCACACTGCACTTTTGGTCTCTGGGGCCACACCCTAGCCGCAGCCAGGCCACTGGCCACTCTGCCTGGCACTTGCTCTGTCTCTGATCTGCTTGCACCCTACTCTCCACTCAGGCCAGTGCCCTTTGCCCTGAATTTTTACAGCGGTCCTCTCCAATGCTCTGCTACTTGGTGGCTACTGTGCTTCTAGTAGTTCCAGGCTATGCTGTACAGTAACTATTTTGCTGTCAAGTAGTCAGACATTACCCCCATCAGGTGTTAAACATGATGTCAGTCTCACAAAGAAGCTATAGGGGTACAGTCTCAATGCTTTTAGTTCCTGTAATACAAATTATCAAGTTTGCCTCTTCCTTTGAGCCATGTTCTGCTTTCCTATCACTAAGGAATAGAAGTTACGTATAATTAGCTTAAAGAAAGCAGATAATTTCAGGAGTCGCCATACAGCTATATACCTAAAATATGTGAAAAATATTTTAAACCACAGCAACCAAAATGGATTGAGTTAAATTAGATATGTACAAAACTTACTGGCGCGAAGTTGTCCAAAACTACAGACACACACCTGTATGTACCACGGCAGCACTGCTAGATTCTGAAGATAGCCGGCAGAACAGGAAAAGGGACCAAGGGATACAGTGATCAAACAAACTTAAATAATGTATAGATATGATATGGTCATATAAGATATGACATGATCAGACAAGATACGCTCACAGAAAAAAGTCATGGGAAGTCCATGAAGTTAATGCAGAATTGACCACTTGGACTATAGGGTCTTTAAAAGAACTGGCATGTTGGTGGGGGAAGTCCTTCTGCTTGTGTGTTGCTTTTACTGGTTAATGAATAAACAATTGCTTTGGGCCTATGGCAGGGAAGAACAGAACTAGGCAGGGGAAGCTAGGCTGTATGCTGGGAGAAAGAAGAGTGAAATCAGAGAGAAGTCATGGAGCCACTGCCACAGTCAGACATACCAAAACTTTGCCTGTAAGCCACAGCCATGTGATGATACACAGATTAATAGAAATGGGTTAAATTAATATGGAAGAGTTAGCCAATAAGAAGCTAGAGCTAATGGGCCAAGCAGTGATTAAATTAATTCAGTTTCTGTGTAATTATTTTGGTTCCGAGAAGCCAGGACAAACATGCAGCTCCTTGCAACAACTGGCAAGTCAACGTGGGTAACTACATCTACATAAAAACCTGAGAAAGCATAAAAATTAATTCTAGACACAAAAGAACAGAGTTAAGCATGGTTTGCCTAGCGGCATTCTCTTGGATGAGCTCTGTTGCTAGACGTGAGCAGAGGCATGGCTCCTTTAGGAGAGGGTTTCCTGATTCAGCCTTAGCAGGAAAGAAGTCTTGTTGTTTTGAAATGCTGGCTTTCTGGGCCATCCTGCAAGCAGGAGGTCTGGCTACAGAGCATGTGAGTGGGGTTTGTAAGCAGAGTGCTGCAGTTTGCTTGATGGCAACATGGACTGGCTGTGTACCTGAGAATGGAGCTGTGTGCATGTCTCTTGGAGGCATGAGCGGCTCCACCATGCTGGACTGGGCAGGAAACCAGGAAGTACCATATATATCATAATAATGGTGCAGCTTAAGTTTCAGACTGGGTGGGCAAGCAGGAAGTACCATATATACCACAGTAATGGCACAGCTTAAGTTTTTTAAATATTTATTTTTTATTATGTATACAATATTCTGTGTGTCTGCCTGCAGGCCAGAAGAGGGCATCAGATCTCATTTCAGATGGTTGTGAGCCACCATGTGGTTGCTGGGAATTGAACTCAGGACCTTTGGAAGCGCAGGCAATGCTCTTAACCGCTGAGCCATCTCTCCAGCCCCCACAGCTTAAGTTTTAAGAAGTGCTTAGCATTTTAAAAGGTGCTCCTCCTGGACAGTAAAGAATTACAGATATGCAATAAAGACAGATCCAGATGAGTTATAGTGTTGGACAAATGTACATTAAAAAAGAAGAAAAAGAATATAGAGAGTCATAAAATAAAGTTAATGCTTTAAAAAGGAGGGGGTAAAGTCTTTAAAGAGACAGAGTACAGATAGTCATAGATTAAAAGGAGCAAAAAAAGCCATGTAAAGATGGAAAATTCACAGAGAGTCTGGATTATGTGTATTATTGTGTTATCTTTGAGTTTTTTGACTGCAGACAGACATCTGATTCTGGGGGCTGCTTAGCTAAACCAACATATATATTTCAAAGGTATCTTGAATTAAAAATTTGAGTCTAAGGATATGTTGCTTTGGATACGAGGTTCTTCTCTTGATTCCACAGAGAGTGAGATCCTGTGGATTGCTTCCAGACTGGTGTGGTTTGATGGGACAAGACACACACCCCCAGAGATTGCTGTGACTACCCCCAAAAATTACTATGCCCATCAGCAGGAAACAGTACAAGGAAAACTATGCCCATATTCCCAAATAGTGTCTATAAATGTTTGTTTAAATTTAAAGGGGGATATGATATAGATATTAATAATTTGCATGGGTATGGATCTTGGTTTACTGATACAAATTTAAGACCAATTTTGTTATATGTACATGTATTTCTGACCTTGATTAAGATATTGTGTTTGTGTAGCTCATTTAAAAATGTAATGTATAATTAAGAAATATAGGTTAATAGATGATAGTCATCTATAATAGTCAAGTTTATAATTATGTTAGTTTTAGATATATAGGGGTGTATTTCAATTAGGTATTCTTCAAATCATTCAGAGACCTTCAGAATATGGCATTTAAATGTTTTAAGAAATTAGGACTTTTCATGACAATGAGACACATCTGCTCCTGGCAGGACCAATCTACTTCAAGAGGAAGGAGGGCATTGAAGAGGCTCCTTATGGAGTTGGTTAGCCATATGGGCAAGAAACTGCTCTTGCCTGGACTGCTTAATGAACTAGACATGCAGTACGCACAACGAAATGACTGCTGAACTTGCCTAAAGGTGAGATGATCCTTCATGAAAGAGTCAGTGAGACATTCTGCATGATACAGAAGAAAGTGACTAACAAACTACCAATAGAGGCAGAACTGTCTTTGAAATTTCCTGCTTCGTGGAAAAGTCTGCTGGATACTATGGGCCTATAGGCTGAAGATGGATGTCCCAATGGTACAAAACTTTGGGTGACTATCCAGGTAGTGAGACGTCTCTGTCAATTCTAGAGTTTTGGAAGTTGCTTATACTGCACTTCCTGTTTACTTAGGTAATATCATATCCTTCTGGAGTCTCTGATGGAGTTGAAGAATTCAAGTTATAGTTTTCCTTAGTTATGATAAAAATAAAGTATATATAAATATTGTAACTATAATTCTTGCTTGATACCTGTTTTGTTATATGTAATTTTACTATGTTAAAGTTAAAGTCTTCCTTTTTGTTTAAACAAAAAAGGGAAAATGGTGTGGGATGTCCTTCTGTCTATGTGTTGCTGTTATTGGTTAATAAATAAAGAATTGCTTTGAGCCTATGGCAGGGAAGAACAGAACTAGGTGGGGAAAGCTAGGCTGTATGCTGGGAGAAAGAAGGGCAGTGGCAGAGAGATGCCAGGGAGCCTCCACTGGAGATAGACATGCTGAAACTTTGCTGGTAGGCCACAACCTCGTGGTAATGCAAGATTAATAGAAATGGGTTAAATTAATATGTAAGAGCTAGCCAATAAAAAACTAAAGCTAACTGGCCAAGCAGTGATTTAATTAGTACAATTTCCTTGTGATTATTTCAGGTCTAAGCTAGCTGGGTGGCCAGAAACCAACAAGCAGCCTCCCTTCTACAGCATGTTTAATAGCAGTGATAAAAAAGTGAGCTACTGTGCCATGCTATGACCTCATCACACCTGTGCCAAACTGGTCCACTCAGATAATGGCTTAATGAAACATTATTGTCATCCTGAGTTTTGCCTGGAGGGAAAAAAAATGCTAGTTGGCAAATTTCCAGACCTTTCTGGAAAACACGTAGCTACTCTCAAGAGTTTAATTCATAAATTTAACAAACCCAACAATCTACTTGTTGTAGAATATTATTGTAACTGTGAAGGATGTATTACTTTTGTTCACGCTGCATTTGTGTAATTATGAAAAGATGGGTTGCATTTGTTTCACCTTTCCTGCCTAACGCACCTGATTGGTCTAATAAAGAGCTGAACAGACAATAGCATGGCAGAGAAAGGATAGGTGGTTTTGGCAGGCAGAGAAAATAAATAGGAGGAGAAATCTAAGCTCAAAAAAGAACAGGAGGAACAAGAGGAAGAGAGAACAAGGGAGACACCAGCCAGCAGACATAAAGAAACAGTAAAAGTGAGATATACAG